AGCCTAGGCAAATAGTTCTTGAAACTCTTTTTCCAAATAACCAGAACAAAGTGGGATGGAAGTATGGATCAAGCTATAATTGTTTTGAAAGCTTGAAGCCTAGGTTTAAACCCTAGTCTCACCAAAAAATGAAAAGGAACCAAGTGGAAGTTGTAAGCTTTAACATTGTAACCACTGACAATGTTATAATTAAATGGGAGAATAAGTTTTCATAGTCTATTGCACAACAGGGTAACTAATTAACAACAATGCATTTTATATTCAAAATAGCTCAAAGAGAGGATATTTAATGTTCTCACCACAAAGAAATGATAAATGTTTCAGGTAATCTATGTACAAATAATCTTGACTTACATTCATGAATTAAAACATCACATTGTACCCCATAAACATGTAAAATTAGTGCTGTCAATCTAAAGTAAAAATAAACTCAAAATATCCCCAAACAAAAACAATAAAACATATTAATAAACATATTAAAAACTGAAAAATACAATCATCAATAATAAACAATCCACCTTGGTGAATGGCTCAATAGTAGGGGACAGAGTAGTAGAGCACAGACACAAAGGTTTTGAGTAAGATAAGTAGAATTTAACTAATTGAAACAAAGAAAACAGACAGAGATATACATACCTGTGGGGCAATAAAAATAGACCCAATATTCATATTTGCATGCTACAGAATGAAAGGGACCAAATAAGAAATAATGGCTGAAAGCTTCCCAACATTGGTCAAAGAGATTCAGAGTTATAGAATCAGGAAGCTGAACAAACCTCTAGTTTTAAAAATCACAAAGGCATATCCTAATTATACTTTTGAAAATTAAAGACAAACTTGTATCCATAGAGAAAGAACTCATTACATAAAGGGACAATCCATCGTTATATGATTATTATTGTGAAGCAAGTTAAACATATTTATCACCTCAGCTTTTGGTTATAGGAGCACTTAAAATCCACTCTTAGTAAATTTCCAATATGTAATAAAATATTCTTAATTGTAGTCCTTATGCTGTATACTGGGACACCAGACATTCATTTTTCATACTCTTTGGCTGTTATATCCCATTTTTGAGCCTCCTGCCCCTGGTAACTACCAATATTCTTTTTCTATGTATTTGGCTTTTCAAAGATTCTGCATACATGTATCTGGCTTATTTTCCATAGCATAATGTCCTCAAATTCCATCCATGTTTTTTCAGATGGCAGGAACATTTTTTCCATTATTTTCCTTCCTTCTTTCCTTCCTTCCTTCCTTCCTTCCTTCTTTCCCTTCCTTTCCTTTCCTTTTTCTTTCTGTTTTTTGTTGTACCAGAGTTTGAACTCAAGCATTCTGCCACATTGAACTGAACTGCATCCAATAACACAGGAAATATATTCCCTTAAGTCCTTCATCCTTCTAAGTTGCAGGATGCTTAACTGGAGGAGAAGGAGGCCTTGCCAAGGTCCTAGGGATTTTCTATGTGACTGCAGTTCTGCAGTCCAACAGTGGGAAATGAGATACCCTCTTGTTAATCAAAGGGGAAATTAAAACATCTAATTTCTATAGGAGAGCTATGTGGTTTGGGGTGCCAGTATGTGTTAAGTCTTTTCCATAAATTATTTAAGTTATCTTTTACTTTTAATGTTTCCTTATTTTAAATAAAGTATTAAAACTAGAGAAATTCAAACCAGAATGTGCTTACAACACCTCTTTTAATAAGTTCGTGAGGTTAATTTATCCCTGTTATCTTTCAGATATTGTTCTGCAGATTTTCTGCATTCACTTAAAGGAAAATAAGAATGTTTTTTATTTTTTAATAAGCTTTTTTCTTGGGTGGATGCAGAGGCTCATTCCTGTAATCCCAGCTACTTGAGAGGCAGATATCAGAAGAATCACTCACATTTTAAGACCAGCCCAGAAAGAAAGTTAGTTAGACCACATATCACCCAAAAGATGGAGCTGTTTGTGTGCCTGTCATCCTAGCTATGCTGGAAGCATAAATAGTAGGATCATGGGCCAGGATGGCCCGGGCGTACATGCAAAACTCTATATCAAAAATAACTAATGCAAAAAGGACTTGGGGGAAGGGATGACGTGATAGAGTTCCTGAGTAACAAGCACAAGATCCTAAGTTCAAAGCCTACTACCACTAAAAAGAATTATTTATCTCCCAATCCTTTCTCTTTCACCCTATTACACTGAAGTAAAGGAAAATCAGATTCTAACTCTTGCTTCCAAGTGCCATAAGTGTTTGTCTCAGTACTTGTTGGGCTCCAACAAATCTCTTCCTACCCTTTCCAATCTCATTGCAATGATGGGAGAGTAGATCATACCCCCCCCCATATTCCTTCCCTGTGATCTGTGGAAGCATTTTTAGCTTTATTTTCACCAATTCTAATTTCTTTATAGGTTCAGACCTATGGAACACAATTATTATGAACCCATTAATTTTGGTGCTTAGAATAAAATGATACCATTCTGGATTCCTACTAATAAGATTACTCTATGGAAACAGAACTATGTGTTTTAATATGTGTATAAATGTGCACAGACTTCTAGGTAAATCATGTGAGTGTGGTATCAAACCTGAATTCCTAAAGATGGGCATCAACGCAGTTCCATCTCTACCCTTGTTCCAAAGTCTCTACTTCCTGGACTATAAAGATGACAGAGATAATTTAAAATGTTGATACAAGGTTCCAGCTGAGGCTTCATCATGCAACCTAAATCCTCTAGCTCAGCAAGGGTGCTGAAGTCATTAGAGCCATCATGGTATGGTATAGATTAAGTGCACAGGACCTGGAAACTGAGAAGTTTAAAGGCATGCCACCATGCCCGGCATTTTATTGGTTGAGATGGGGTCTTGCAAACCTTTTGCCTGATCTGACCTTGAACCACAAACCTCCGGAGCTCTGCCTCCTGAGTAGCTAGGTGTGAGCCATCACATTTTGCTTAAAAGACAACTTTTTTAAAAGAAATTTTAGTAAGAGTGGTACTGTTTTTCCAAATCTCCTTACTGTCTCACTATATAGAAGACAGCTGATTCTCATCTGTTTTATTCAATCTGTTGCCCTATGTTGTATGGGTTGATGTAAATAAAGAAAATCCAACTTCACATAGATATTTAATTTGAAAAGGCAGGGGTGCTTCATCAGTCTTTTCAAGTTGTAAATATTCTCCTTTGATGCTGGATTGAAATGCTACAAATGGTAGTGTCTTAAAGTTTCTTTGCAATGAAATGACTGATGTTAACAGAAAAAGCAAGGTGTTTGGGGAACCAGACCCCCTGGAGTCATATAGTGGTCGCACATCTTCTTAGGTGAGTCACTTGGTTATTGCCACCTTTTAGCCTCATTTTATTTATTTGCAAGTAAGAAATAATAGGACCACTTCAGAAAGCTACTGTGAGAAATAGATGAGTTAATAAATGTCACATGTTTAGAGTGAATCCTGGCACATAGTAAATACAAATTATTGTTTGTTAAAGAAAGGAAGAGTGTTTATTATCTATAAGAGTTCGATAATAGTGACAATTACTACCATCATAATAACTGATATCAAGGTGTCTGCTAATTAATTTTAAAGTGTTTGAAAGTGATGATTAGAACAATGAAGTATGATTTTAATTTTTAAAAATCAAAAACATATGATTTAATTTAAACAATCAATTAAGAACTATATGGTAGGTCCTAAGTGTGATATTGTAAAGAAAATCTTTATAGGTCATTATCAATTCAAATAATAGATCTAAGAATATATTCTGACAGTCACCTTCCTCAGGGTCTTCTTAGCATCTCTCTTCCTCAGACTGTGGATCAGGAGTTCCACATGGGAATCACCACTGTGTGGAAGAGAGACATAACTTTATTATGCTTAATTGAATAGCTGGTTGTGGGCACCACATAAATGAAAGTAATTGTTCCATAGTAGAGAGTGACTGCAGTGAGGCGGGAGGTGCAGACGGAGAAGGCCTTTGTCTCCCCATCAATGGAACACAGCTTTAGGATGTGGCTAGAGTGTACATGTAAGAGAGAGCAATGACAAACATTGCAAGCACAAACATTGATGGAAGAGATGGATAATTTCAATAATTGAGATATCTGAACCAGAAAGTTTCAAAAAGGGGAGAAATTACAGAAAAAGTGACTGTACAATTTGGTCCACAGAAGGACAGACAGTAAATAACTAGTAAGTAAATGTCCAAGCATTCCACCGCCACCCAGACAGGAAGTCCCCAGTAAGAGAATGCACACTCTGGGATATGTGCACGGAGTAGAGCAGAAGAGAGCAGATGGCCACATAGCGATCATAGGCCATGGCAGCCAAGAACCATTTGGGTTTACAAGATGTCACTACAAAGTTGAGCTTCACAAAAGCAATGAAGATTCAAAATAAAATAAAAAACTGATGAAAATTAAAGTAAAAAATTATGAAAATGATAATTGTAAGCTTTTTCTAAACCTCAATAGCTGACAGAGAAAGCAATCAAAAAATCAGGAAGGATATAGTAGATTTGAAAATTAGTTTAATTTAATCATATTGAAGTGAATGTAATATATGCTTCACTGTTTCCAAACATTATGACAACCCTGTATAAGAGAGGTGAGCTCTTTCAGAGAGAGAAGGTGATGTGGGGTGTCAATAGATTGCCTTGCCATTGAGCACATGCTCTCCAAGTTGTTCATTTATAAGATAACATTTTAAAGGAATATATTAACTGAATGGGGGAAAAAAACCTGTAATCAAAGATTCCCTAAATTATAGGCAGAGGAAAGAAAAAGTGAAACTACATTTTTCAAGTATCAAAACCATCATATACACACATTTAATTTGAGCCAAAGGATTCTTGTGAATGATATATTTTATTCTGTGGCTCTAGAAAGTTCAAGTTGGCTTGAATCAATATACTGGCACAGTGTATTTAAGACAGTTCTTGACATAAAATAACATAAATATCTATCACATATGCTTACCAAAGTATTATTTTAGATTTCTGGATTCACATTGAATTTCTTTCAAAATGAGGAATATGTTCTCGCCATCAATTTCTTCATGGCCTCTTTTACATCCTTGTTCCTCAGACTGTAGATCATGGGGTTCAACATAGGGATCACCACAGTGTAGATCACAGATATCACCTTAATATAGTCAGGTGAATGGCTCGACTTTGGTATGACATAAACAAATGTAACTGTCCCATAAAACAAAGTGACTGCAATGAGGTGGGAAGTGCAGGTGGAGAAGGCCTTGTGCCTTCCCTCAGTAGAGTGCATCTTCAGTATGGAGTGGAGGATGTAGACATATGAAACAATGATGGTGAATAGCGTGATTACAATGACTAATGTAGCTGAGATGACAGGAGATATTTCAGCAATATAAATATGGGTACAAGAAAGCTTTATGAGTGGGGGCAGGTCACAGAAGAAATGGTTGATTTTATTTGGTCCACAAAAAGTGAGACTTAATAAACAGCTAGTAAGTGATGAAGCATTCAGGCACCCACCCAAGTAGGAAACAAACAGTAAGATGATGCAGACCCTGGGGGACATGTGGGTGGAGTAGAGCAGAGGGGAGCAGATGGCCACATAGCGATCATAAGCCATGACAGCCAGTAGGAAGCACTCAGCTGTTCCAAACACAGCATCAGAAACAAGCTGAGCTATGCAGCCACCAACAGGGATGGTAGTTCTCTCCCTTAGAAAGCTCACAATCATGACAGGTGTGACAGATGTGGAATATCCAATGTCCACAAAGGCCAAATGGCTGAGAAAGAGGTACATTGGGGTGTGAAGCTGAGAGCTTCTTTGGATTAATATGATTATGCTTATGTTTCCCAGCATGGTAGTAACAGATTCCTAGAAGAACCACAAAGAGGATGGAACAAAGTGTAACATCCTCTGTTAACCCCAAAATAACAAACTCTGTCACCATTGTGTGGTTCCCAGTCTCCATTTGCTTCTGAATAGTATCTACTGTAGTAAAAAAAAAAAGTGAATATTAAAATAAATTGAGTTCACAATTGATTTATTTGCTTCGACACTTAGTATATTAAAAAATCAACATGTAGATTTCACTTTTGTCTACCCACTTGCACTTCACAAAACATCTCCAAACATGTTACATTATGTATGATTTGTGAATATTAATCATTTCTCTCAAGGCCACAGATACAAATTGGAGAATGACTCAGATCAGAACACATCACTCACAGTTGCAAAATTTGATCAATTCACATTGCTAATTGAATGCTTCCAGCAATGTTCTGGAAACCTGAATGGTTAAAGTGATTGATCTCATGCTTATTTGACAATATTCAATTTGCCTCTGTTTCTCAGTCACGTTGGAGACGACACTTCCCAGTCCTCTTGAAGTTAGGTAAGACTGTAAACAGTATATGCTAACAGGTTGTGGAAAGAAATGTGTCTTTTCAGGATCAATTTAATTACTAGTGGGCAGGTCTCTCTTCCTTTTCCACAGTGACATATTTACATGATACAACTCTAATATAGTGATAGGTCTCACCAACTCAGGATTTGAGTAAATATAGAGAACAAGAATATACTGGAGGGAGTGTAGCTCTATATTGTATTGGACCATACTGTGTTTCAAAGGTTAATATGTTAGGAAAGCACAAAATCATCTATCTTGGTTAGAATAATTATAGATTAGCTGTAAGTAGAAGTTTCAAATAGAACTTAATCTTGAGAAAAACATGAGATATAAATCCACTTTTGGTCTCTGTTTGTGCTTTAGAAACTCTGTAGAACTAACAAAAGAATCTATTTCATAATCTTATGTGAATAAGTCATATAATGAAATAATTACCAAAATGCCAAATGTTTATGTTATACCAGCCATGTAAGAGCAAGCAGAAAATACATAAATGCAAGGGATAATAAGAAGTCATTTAATTTAACAAAAAAGTAGGTTTAATCAGGAGAATTCAAAAGATAAATAAAATGAATGCAGACTTTCACTTAAGAATTACTGTTAACATTGTGCTGGCCAGAGTTGCTCAAGTGGTACAGTGCCTGACTAGTAAGCATGAGGCCTTGAGTTCAAACCTTAGTACTGCCAGAAAAGAAAAAGGAACATTGTTAACATGAAAGAACATAAAATATTTTCAGCAAAATATTTAGAATGCCAGTTTAGGCATTAAAATATTGAAAAAATGCTCAACAACAATAACCATTTGAGGAATGTAAATTCAACCAGAGTGAGATACCTGTTCTACTTGTCAGACTATTATCAAAAAGAAGGGTACAAACATTGGAAGAATGTGGAGAAACACAACCCTGGTACACCTGAAGTGAATGCCATTCGGTATAGCCATTTTGGAAAACAGTATGGAGTGTCCTCAAAAATCTGTAAGTAGAATTTCTATATGATTCAGAAATTTCACGTTGGTTACACATGCAAAAGAACTGAAATTGGTTTATCAAAACAGTATCTGGACATCCATATTCATCACAGCATCAATCACAACAGCCAGAACATGAAAGCAACTTAAGTGTCTAGCAACAGACAAATGGGTAAAAATAAATGTGGCATATATGCACAAAGAAATTATATGCTGCCTTAAAAAATACAGAAATCTTGTCATCTGAGATAATGTGGATAAACCGGGAAGGCATTACACTAAGTGAAATAAGCCAAGCACAGAAAAACAAGTACTGTATGATCTCACTTTGGTATGAACTCTCACAAAGTTCATTACATAGAAACAGAAAGTAGAATTGTAGTTTAAAAAGGCTGGTGGCAGGCAGAGAGAGAAGAATGGAGAAAGGGGAAATGTTGGATGAAAGGGCACTAGGTCTTAGGGGGAACATATTTAAGTGATTTATTTCACAATGTGGTGAGCATAATTAATAATAAGACATTGCATTCTTCAAAATTGCTAAAAGTAATAGATTTTTAAATGTTCTTCCTGTAAAATAAATGATAGAAAAGTGAGGTGACGGATATGTTAAGTGGTTGGATTCATCTTTTTATAATATATAGACACATGAAAGCATCATGCTGTATCCCATAAATATATGCAATTATTATTGGTCTAATTAATTAATTTTAAAAGTTCACAGTGCAGAAGTGAACTTTCATGTAATTTTTTAAAAATCCTCCTTGGGCCATGCTTACCAGGTAAGAGGTGACTAGGTACACCATGACTGTCTGGAGACCTGTGCTGACTCCACAACTACAACTGTGTGGGCTGAAGATGAGGGCTTGCAACTATACAAGACAAGAAGAGTTGACATCTCAGACCCTCCCCCTATATGTGTCACCTCAAAATGCAAGAATCTGTGCTTTCAACCTCAATGGAATGGCAGTCCTTAAGATATCCTCTTACTAGCCAAGGGAAATGAGAAGGAAAATTTTCCATCTCAGCCTACTCCTTGTAAAAGAATAAAATAAATCTTGAGTGTCCTGGTATATGTTTGGGATTTTAATTTACATTTTTACTTAGTCTAAAATCCCAAGCTCTCAATTATCATAACTAGTCATGTATTGGCAATAGTATAAGGTAGATTACTGTGATGTATTGAAGATGTGATAGATTAAAACATTTATTTGTAATAGGCTAGAAGTGACTGCAAATTTCATTATGCTATTGCCACTGAGGAAGGAGTGCAATCTCCCACTATATTCAGACAGAACTTAGTGACTTGCTTTCAGAAGCAGAAGCAATAGTCTGGAAATTCTGAGAATAGTTCAGCTTCCTTTTGGGATATTTGTATATCAGTAACAAAGAATGAATGTTACCTGCTGGTCAAACATTGTGGCAAGAACAGACTCCAGGTATCATCTCTACAGAGTAGATCTTACTCACAGAGGACTTAGGAAAATTTTGAATACAAGACCATAAGTACCTTAGCAGCAGACACACACAAGTTTGTTAGAATCTTATTGAAAATCCATTGGGAGAAAACCCAATGAGACTGAGAAAGTTAGATGTATTTATGTATTCCTCCACCATTGTGCTGGCTGAGATATTCATTAAGATCTCATGGGTTTCATTTGTTCCTTCATTATTACCATACAGAATTATAACTGCAAACATCTAATTCATTTTCAAACCTGGTTTGAATAAATATAGTTGGCATGGGCTAAACTGATTATCTCTGCTGTTTCAGAGAAGCAGTCATGACTGGGTGTCTGGAATTGAATTTCTGAGCACTGTCATTTGGTTTATACTTAGTCACACCATTGGGCACTGCAAGAAGAACCGTGACACTTTTCTGTATATGAAAATGACCCACACTTTAATTCAGTTTTGGCATTTCATATACATATATATATACACATATTTCAAAATTCTGTACTCTTGACATAGTGATCCAGTTATTGAAAATATTTCTTTTCCTAACCCTACATTTATCTCTAAACCAATGATCCCTAGATAAACCAAGATTCTCTACCTTATTCTTAATTTTCATGTGGTTTTATAAGTGATTTTCTATTAGTATTATTTTAAAATTCCTTTTATTGAAAAATACTTTAGATAATTTCATGTATATGTTAATTTACCTTATATTATTCCAAAATATTTTAATATTTTTTTATTTAACTATACCTTACTAATGCTTCAATGTACCACTGTTTCTCCTCACCATACACAAAGAAGTACAAATAAATACTGGGTTAAAATATTTGCACACTGTGAACTCTAATAGAGACTGCCAAATTGCCCTTTAAAGAAAGCTCGAATTATTTAAGAAATGATGTTTTGTGTTAATAAGCTACTAGATCATATATTTTGTTATAAATTTCACCTACCAATTTTTAAAGTCTTGCAATATTTTTATGAATTTTCTTAATTTCCCATATTCCTATTAGATTTTGCTTTAAGTATTTCAACATGGTATTATTAAGTATATAAATGTTTATGACTGTTATAATTTCCCTGTTAATTTCACTTTTTGTTTTATAAAACTTTTAAATTATTTTTATCAATTCACTTCCCATTAGCAATATTTGAAAGCATAGACTTCCTCACATAGTTAATGTTCAATATTATCAATCTGGTTCATATTTGCGATGAACATCATCAGTTGTGATTTGATGGGTTTAAATATGCTTTTTTTGTTACTGCTTTGTTTTTGTTTCCCTATAATTATTTACACTAGTTAGACTGAATCCATTTTCTTTGTGCTGCTTTTTATATAATAATACAGAGTGTATGTGCCTTATTTGTATTTTCCAGGAGTTATAAATTTTTTGGTACAAGAGATTGAATTTAAGTCATTTATGCTTGTTAGACAGGTAGTCTACCACTTCCAGTAGTTATATAACTCCTTTTAATGGTTTTTGTATATTTTTGAATTGGTATAATATTAATAATGCAAGTTGGGTTTATTGTGGTAATTCAATACGTGTGTGTAGTATGCTTTGAACAAGTTCATCCCTCCAGTATAAAATCCCATCACCCCAACTCTTCTCCCCCTTTTTTCAAACAGTGTTATGGGGCTTTCATCACATTGTCTTTGAATACATATATCTTGTGTACGCCAATCCACTTCACCCCTCAATATGCTTTCCTTTCCCCCTTCTTGTTCCTGTCAATTCTGTCCAGACCACACCTCTTACACATTCATGTCCCATCATCATCACCATCATTTCAGGACAAGATTCCACAAATGAGAAAAATTATGAAATATTTGACTTTTTGACTTTGTCTTCCTTGCTCAGGATGATGATCTCCAGTTTCATCCATTTTCTAGAAAAATGACATAATTTCATTTTTCTCTATGACTAATAGCCCATGCTATATACATACCATATTTTTATATCCAGTTATCAGTTGTTGGGTACCTCGACTGATTTCACAGTTTACCATTGTGATCCCACCTACAATAAACATAGGTGTGCAAATATCTGTCTTGTATATTGATTTACACTCCTTTGGGTGTATGCCAAAGAGTGGTATGGTGGAGTTGCAAAGCAGGTCTACTTTT